GAGAGAAACATGGATGTGAAAGAGACACATCGAGTGGTTGCCACCCGCATGACCCAACCAGGGCTGAGGACAAACTGCAACCGAGGTACATGCCCTTAGCGGGAACCGAACCCGGGTCTCTCTGGACCGCAGGCCGACGCTCTACCGCTGAGCCAAACCGGCCAGGGCCACGGCTACTTTACATGGACAATACAGTAAGTTTCTACTAACTACACAGCACCTCCCACTGAACACTGTGACCACATCTACCTACAAGCAATGGCTTGAAAAAACCTGACCAATCACCCAACATTAAAACCATATGTCTTCAAGCCTTCAAGAAACGCCAATAAAAAATCACACATGAGGTTAGTAACTACAACATGGGTTCCTAAAATATTAATTCTGCCTTTTTAGCCAGAAAAAAGAAAAAGAATTTGTTGTTGTTGTTTTGCCCCTTGAGTGCACATACACTGTCAGGTGTCCCAGGACTTCCAGAAAGTTGAAGAAGTGTTTAATCTCCAGGTATTCTAGTAGTAATTTTCAAACTGCACCACTAGTGACAAGACCCCCCAGGGTACAAAGAGAACTAGAAACCTTATGAGATCGTCTCAAATAGAGACAAGGTGGTGCAGGAGGTAACAGACTACCTAGCACAACTTCCAGGACTCTGCTCGGAACAGTGTCCATACACCTTTCCCGCCACAAACTGGGTCATGGACCTCGAAGCTGTGTGTTCAAAGCTCTCATCAAAGCCTGGACCCCTTCAACAAAGTGTGACCAAAATACTCTCTGAGGAATCTAACAAATGTTCACAACAAAGGATTTGCTAAGTTTCTGAATTTCCATCTTCTGTGAAAACCTGAAAGTTGATGAAAACGCGAGCCTTCAACTGCCTTCAAACCTCCTTGACATCTGTAACCAGAGCCTGTCTGCAAAAGCTCGGCTCTGAGGTTTCAGAAGGTTTCCTCAAGTCCCAGCCAAGTTTGTCTTGCCAATTAAACCGGCTATTAAAGACCAACTTATAAAGAGAAGGGAGTCAACGTTTAATTGGAAAGCAAATCACCTAACAGTAAGTGGTAGACACATTTCCCAATTAAAAATCTGACAAGAACGCACAAAAAGAAAATAGTATCTCCCAAATGCCGTTGTGCTTATTTCCTGTTTAGACAAGCTTCCTGCTCCAACTTCACACCAAACACAAGGTTAGGGGGCAGGGGTGGAAGACCAGTAGGAAAGTAGGAAAATGCTGTGGGTGCGCATGGGCATAAAAATGTCCACACTGTACATCAGCAGGTAATCAGGACTCTGTCCACCAGATTAGTTCCGTTTTAAGGGGCCAGTGGCGACTTAAAACCAAAACCTGCAGTTAGCAGCCCCGGACAGACTCAATCCTAAGCATCAAAGCCCCACCTCACAACCTGAGGTCTCTTCTGCAAAGCCCAGGGAGTATGGCCTCCCAAACATCTTTCTGTCTTGAATTTTTTTTTTAGTACTTTTTAAATGGTTAGAATTTCATGTATTAGCCTCAAAGTACTTTTAAAAATACCCATCTGCCAAATGTAATCCTTTCATTACAATTACACTATACTTCACCTTTAAATTACTTTCATAGACTACCACACTAGCAAAATAGAGTCATTATTTAACTATTTGGTACCATAGTTAGAAACAGTGGTGAGATTTGGATATTCCATATCTACACCTACTCTGTCCTTAGGTCAAACCCTTATTCACCTGTACTTTTTTTTTTTATCCAGTATTAAAAGGCAACTGTAACAATAAATGTTCCTCTAACATTCACTATTCAGAAGAGAAAAACAACTGGCTCGGTGTTTTAAAAATATAAAGCAAACTAAGTAAACTTTTCAAAGGACAGTGGACTCCTTCACTATCAAGTAATTTACTGTGACAAAATGATAGGTCCAAGGAAATATGAAAGCCAACTGGCACATACAGTTCCAGGAATCCTCTAGATGTAGCCCAGATTTCATCAACATGAGTCAAAACCGGTTTTTCTTTTTGAGGCTGGTTGCCAACGCAACCAGGAAAGCTACAGTCTTTGCAAAAGAAAGTTTGGAAAGAAGTTAAGGATAAGAGAAGGTAATCAAAGTTTTATACCAGGAATTAAGAATCATGAGTGCAATGTTGCAAGAAGGGTAACACAGAGAAACTGAAAGATAGACAAAGCCACAACTAGAGTGACAGAACAATTTACTAATAAGAAATATACATACCCATTTGTAGGTTTTTTTTCCAGTTTTATTGAAATGACATATAACACTGTATTCATTTAAGCTAAACATGATTTATGCGTATGTCTCAAAATGATTATCATAGTAAATTTATTTAACATCTATCACCTCACAGTTTTTTTTATCCTCACCCGAGGGTATTTTTCCATTTTTTGTACAGATAGAGTGGGAGGGAGAGAGAGGGAGGGAGAGAGAGAGAGAAACATCGACGTGAAGGGACACATCGAGTGGCTGCCACCCGCACGACCAACCAGGGCCGGGGACAAACTGCAACCGAGGTACGTGCCCTTAGCGGGAACCAAACCCGGGTCTCTCCAGACCGCAGGCCGACGCTCTAACCGCTGAGCCAAACCGGCCAGGGCTATCACCTCACAGTTTAAATGTTTGCTTGTGATGAGAAATTTTAACATCTATACTCTTAGCTACTACATTCTGTTCCCTGAAGTACTCTCCTCCGACTCTCCCCCATCCTACACACCAAAGTAATATTACCATCTTCCTCTCATTCACTGCCATTGTTTATGAAATTTAAACCACTGGGTATGTTCAAAAGCACATCAGGGAGGAAACAACAAGAGAGTTAGCAACAGCCTCACTCCAACCCCGAAACTCCCCTGTGACTCAAAGAAATGTTGATATATGAACATCAACATTCTGACACCAACAAAGTCAGTCCTAAAAAGGTGACATGTAGACATGAACCCCTATCCTTACCCCAAATGCTAGATGTACACACTCCATTTATAGCATGCTGGTAACAGATATAAGGAAGAAAAATGAAAACAATAATATGCAGCAGAAGTCAGAGTAAGAAAATGCCTAGAACTAAATCGTGGTGATAATGTGAAGGTAATACATATGGGCATAAGAAGTGGATAGATAATCACAAAATCACACTCCACAGCACCCAGCATTTGGAAATTTCCCCTGGGAAACACAAAGGCAACCAAAAGCAATGCATATTTTTGAATTGGTATCAGTAAAAAAGCTTTAGTATATTTTTATGCTTTTTTTCAAATATGGGTAAATTTAACTGCATTTAGGAAAACTAATATATAGCATAAAAGAAATGGGTAAAACCTACGGAATCAAAAGTACACCAGTGAGATGGTCCATTTGTATATAGATGCTAACTTCCCTAATTCCCCATTCTACTTTCACTGGAAGTAATCACTCCTCCTAGATTCCCATCATATCCCATCTGTCTCTTCTAATTTCATGTCGTAGTTGCTACCTAGATATTTTATCCCTCAAATATCCCTGCTATAACATCGTTATAAATATAGTCTACTGGAACAGCATGTCAAATTAGTCTTTGCAAAACTCAGGGCATTCACTCATTCATTAAATAAATATTTCCAAAGTATGTATAAGTGCTAGGCACCATACTACATATAGGCAATAAATATGTACTGTTTCAATGAATATTGACTGCAAGGCAGAAAAAAAAAAGTTCGAAAAAGAATCCCAATAAATCATATATTTCCACGAGGGATTAGGATGGGAAGGGAAGCTACAAATATTCTAATATCATGAAACATCTACACTACCTGTGAATTGTCACAGCAAGAAAATGTGTCCACAATAGAACAGCAATTCCTCTGCATGGCCTACCAAGTATATTAAGTATTTCCATACAGAGAATTGTCATCTTAACCATTTAAAAAATTTTGTAATAAGGATTTAATATGCCATAATCTTAAACTAGAGGTCCCAAAATAACACCCATGAGGCAGGTCTTTATAAGTCCAGGAATGACAGGCTGTTTTAAAAGTTCGATCTGTTCATTCATTCAAGAGCTTATTAAGTACCAGATACTTGTTGGGCCTGGTTTTAAAAAGATAAGACACTCCTAGACCCCTCTAAGAACTCAACCAAAAGTTTGGCATAGGTGTGTGTTGGGAGCGGAGATGGGGGGGCGGGGTTCACGTTTTATTTTATGGAAAATACCCAAGTTGAAATTCAAATGTCAACAACAAAAACGTGTCGTGTTTTATTCCGGTTGTTTTTAGGCACACCCTCTATCATTTTTAATGGTACTTGAAAGGGTTCCCCCATCCTCAATTTATTTCACTTATAAAGAAAAAAAGAAAAGCCAATAAAAGGCCCACCACTCCCACTATATATATTCTGGGAAAATAATGTGTATAGAGGGTAACTTGAAATTTGTTTCTTTTCTTTCTTTCCTTCTTAAGGAACAAACCTATCCTTAAGGATAGGAAGGAAGAACAAAAACCGAAAATGGATATATGCCTTCAAACCCACAGCCCTTCTGCCAGCTCACTACAGGCTCCTGCATGAGAGGCCGTGGCCATTCACAGGTGGCTGGAGGTATCCAAAGAGTGACAACACAATCTGCAACTCGTGACAGGCGGCTCCGGACTTCGGGGCCTTACACCCCGAGTCCGGGAAACAAAACACCTTCCTGGGTGAGCGCTGCAGAAGGCAATCAACAAACCACCGTGCTGGGCTAACCACACACACCTGGCTTTCTCTACCAAGCCCGGAACAGCAGGCTGGTAGGGCCTGGGCCCCCTAATGGGAAGCTCTGGCCCTAAAGACAAGACTGGGGCGAGGCTCCTCCCTCTAGCCCAGCCCCAGAGAAAAGGGGGGCTGTAGGGGCCCTGGGATGGGCTGGGGGGAGGCAAGGAGGGAAGGGAAGGGTGGGCAGGGTGGAACCCAGCTAACCCTTCCCGCTACCAAAGCGGAGGTCGAGCCGCTGCCCGCTGCCCCCTGTCCCCTGACCCTGCCTCCTGCCTCCCTCACCTGATCACAGAGATGAGCAGCCCCGAGGGGTCTTTGCTTTTGCTGACTGTGCTTCTGTATTTCCCACCAGCTGCTTCTGCCGCCATCTTGGTAACGGGCGGACAACCTGTGGGCTGCAGGGAAGTGAAGGCGACGTGAACTCTGAAATTGATCTCTCCGGAGAGTCCACCAATGGGAGAAGAGGAGTTCTGTGAACCTCTCTTCCAGTGGCTGGGATGAGGGGGCGGGATCCAGGCGGCACGTTTCCAGGCGGACGCGCGCGCTAGGCACTCTGGGAATTGTAGTTTTCCTTCCGCGGCTGCTGGGCGCGGAGGAAGCCAAAGGGAGGATGCTTGGGGAAGTCTCCTAATGAGTGTCTTATATTTGTCCCGATCTTCGGCTTTTTTTTTTTGTTTCCTTACTTTTAGAATTATCAGTTTTTTTAAGTCAAATTTATCCGACGATGACACCGTGTGTGTGTGTGTGTGTGTGTGTAGGGGTGTATTTCATTGGGGCGTGGAAGATATGTCCTTGATGTCTATGTGCAAAATTTGACTTCAAACACAGCGGTGTGTTTTTTAATCCAGTAAAATGCGAAAGTGACTAGAGAAAGAAATTTTCTTTAATATTCTCTAAAACTAAATGTTTTACATTAGTTTTATGTGACTTCAGTCATTTTTCAATGTCCCTACATTCCCAGATAATCCTAAAGAACATACACTCAAGAACACGCAAATGGGTATTGATGAAGAAAGACGGAAGAATCTAAAACCAAAACTGACCAGATTGCAAATTCCTTTTCTTCCCAAGCAAAATAAAATAGTAATGGTGATCACCTACATCTGTGCTTTATTAATATCTTTACTGGTAAATTTTTATATTTCCTGCGTTTGAATCTCTTGGCTTTGTCATTCCTTCACCAGATGAAATGAACAAATAACAAAGATTAGAGTATGTTTGGAAAGTGGACAAATGGAGAAGCAAAAGGAAAAATAAAGATTGAGAAGGAGGAAAAGAGGTGTCTGCTTAGTAGCAGTAAGACTAAGAAGTTAAGAGATGCATAGAAAGCAAACTCAGAGGTCCTGCAGTTGTGAAGCAGCATGCCCAGAATACATCAACGACTTTCATAAACAGATATTGTGCTGGGAGAAGTTCACACTGACTTTTAAAAATCAGTTGGAAGTTTTTATTTATTTTTTAACTTAAAAGTGTTGCTAGCCTGTGGCCCAATAATTCCAATTCTAGGGACATTTTTCTTTATCCTCACCTGAGGACATTTTTAGATTTATCTTCAGAGGGGGGGGAGCATCAATGTGACTGGTTGCCACCCACAGGACCCCAACCTCAGCAGAGACCAACTGCAACCAAGGTACCTGCCCTTAGTGGGAACTGAACCCGGATCTCTCTGGTCCTCAGGCCCACGCTCTAACTAGTGAGCCAAACCAGCCAGGGCCTAGGGATTTTGTCCCTAAAGAAATAAAGATATAAAAAGGTATTGAAAGTTTGAAACCACATAGAAATATTAAATTAATTATAGAACATTTATATAAGCATATAACAACTAGGCACTAGATATCATAATTTTAATGACCTTTAATAAAAAGAAGATATTTATGGTATAAGTACAAAAAGCAAGCTATAAAATTAAGTAATTCATATATATAAAGACATACAGTTGGGCCTAATGTCTAAGAACACTGGCAGCAGGGGAAAAACATGATCATCTTAGTTGATGCAGAAAAAGCTTTTGACAAAATCCAACACTCTTTTCACGATAAAACACTTAGAAAACTAGAAATAGAAAGGAACTTCTTCAAAATAATAAAGGATATTTATGTATTTAAAAACCACAGCTAACATCATACTCTGGTGAAAAACTTAACATTTCCAGCTATGATCAACAACACAAGGATGCCCACTTTTGCCACTTCTGTTCAATGAAGTACTGGAAATTCTAGCTAGAGCAATAAGGCAAGGAAAGAATAAAGCATCCAAATTGGAAAGGAAGAAGTAAAACTATTTCCGTTTTGTAGACAACATGATTTTACATATGAAAATCTTAAAGAATTTTTTTTAAAGTTATTCGAGTTAATACATGAATTCAGCAAGGTTGCAAGATACAATATCAAGAAAAAAAATCAGTAGTGTTTTTATATACTAGCAATGAACAATCCAAAAAGGAAATTGACAAAACAATTCTATTTACAATAACATAAAAATAATTTAAATACTTAGGAATAAATTTAACCAGAAAGGTGAAAGACTTACACACTGAAAACTATAAAACATGCTGAAATAAATTAAAGAAGACCTAACCAAATGGAAACACATCTTGTGTTCATGCATTGGAAGACTTAATATTGTTAAGATGTCAATACTCCCTAAAGCTATCTATAAATTCAGTGCATCCCTATGAAAATTCCAATGACCTTTTTTTTTTTTGAAAATTGGAAAAACTCACATGGAATTACAAGGAGCTTCAAATAGCCAAAACATCTTGCAAAACAACAAATTTGGAGGACTCAGACTTCCTGATTTCAAAATAGTAATCAAAAGTGTAGTACTTGTATAAAGATAAAAAAATAAAAAAATAGAATATAATTGAAAGTTCAGAAATAAACACACATATCTATGATAAATTGATTTTCATAGAAAATCAAGGGTGCCAATATCATTCAATGGGTAAAATATAGTCACTTCAACAAGTGATGCTGGGAAAACTGGATATCCACATGCAAAAGAATGAACTTGATCCCTGTCTTAGTCCATTCAAGTTGCCAAAAGAAAAATATCACATATTGGATAGTTTATAAACAACAAAAATGTATTTTCCACAGTTCCAGAGCCTGAGAAGTCCAAGATCAAGGGAACTCTGTGGGGTCTCCCTTATAAGAACACTAATCCATAATCATCTCCAAAAGTCCTCACCTCCTAATATCATTACCTTTGGGGGTTAGGATTAAACATATGAATTTTGGGGCAGACACATTCAGACCTCACACCATATAAAAAATTTAACTTAAAATTAATCAAAGGCCTAAAGGTAAGAGATAAAGCTCTTAAAAGAACGCATTGGGGTAAATACTTACCACCTTAGATTTGGCAGTGGATTCTTATATATGATACCAAAAGTATGAGCAACAAAAAGAAAAATAGACGAGTCAAAATGTAAAACTTGTCTTAAATAGGGAGAGAGAGATAGAAACACCAATTGACTGCCTCCTGCATACACCCTACCAGGTATTGAGCCCACAACCCCAGCATGTTCCCTGACCAGGAATCGAACCAGTGACCTCTTGGTGCATAGAACAATGCTCAATCTACTGAGCAACACTGGCTGGGCAAAATTTAAAACTTTTGTGCATCAAAGAACATTATCAAAAAAGAAAAAAGGCAACCCATAGAATGTAAAAAATATATGCAAATTACATATCTGATAAGAGCCTTTATCCAACATATGAGAAGAATTCTTACAATTCAACAGCAAAAGACAAAAATGCCAATTAAAAACTGGGCAATGGACATTTCTGCAAAAGAGATATACAAATGGCCAACAAACACATGAAAAGATGCTCAACAACTTTAGTCATTAAGGAAATCACAATTAGACACACTTCATAGGCACTATGAATTTTTTTTAAATGGAAAATAAATACTAGCAAGGATGTGGAGAAATTGGGACCTTGTGCATTGCTGGTGGGAATATAAAATGGTACAGCCAATGTGGAAAACTGTTTGGTGGATCCACCAAAAGTTAAATATAATATTAACATATTACCCAACAATTCCACTATATATTTAGGGATATATCTAAAAAAATAGAAAACAAGTACTCAAAAAAAAAAAAAAAACCAAAAACCCTTGTACACAAATGTTTATAGCAGCACTGTTCACAAGAGCCAAAAGGTAGAAACAACCCAAATTCCCATCACTGGATGAATATGGTATAATAAATGGTATATGATAAAAGTCTAAACACAAGGTGACATGTCCACACATGGAATATTATTCAACCATAAAAGGGAATATAATACCAATGCATGCTACAGCATTGATGAACCTTGAAAACATTCTACTAAGTGAAGGATGCCAGACACAAAAGGTTACACAGTGTATGTTCCATTAATAAAAATATCTGGAATAGGTTAATTCCTACAATTTTATGTGATGTGTATTTTATCACAATAAAAAACGATAATGCTGATTGTACAGTGGAATTGCCTAGATTCAATCCCAGCTCTCCACTTAATGGCCAGGTTACTTTAGGCAAGTTTCTCAAGTTTTCCTTGCCTCAGTTTCTTTATCTGTAAAGCAGGTGATTATAGGACTTTCCTTATTATGAGATTGTGTAAGATATGCATGATCAGCTAGTAATTACTCAAGTATGGTACCAATTTTGTTTAAAATACACCTCTTTGGGTATTATGAAGTTCTTCTGAGGAGCAAGAATATGGCTACTTTTTCATTTTTTTCTTTACACTTCTGGTTTTTTCAAAATGTCTATGAATAGGTGTTGCTTTTATAAACAGAAATAAACAAAACATTTTTTAAAGCAAGAATTGGATAAGTCCTCAAAATGGGCTACTTTTATCACAAACTTGAAATGCAATTATGTGATAATTAAATCGACACACCCTGATTAACACTTAATTCAATGAACTGTTTTTGCTTCTCTGTTCTCCTTCCCACACCTTGCACCTCAGGAAACCTTCCCAACCGCACCTCTCGTCTTCAGGTGACAGATATACCCTTTCACATGGCTTCTATTCTAGGTGACCTTCTACACTAACTCCAAACCTTCACCAACCTGTGAACAATGAAAAAATAAAATAGGGGAAGGCTTAGCAGTTCTGCCCCTTTGTAGCCTTTGGCCTTCAACTGCAGACTCCCAAACTCTCCAGGATACTTGGAACTAGCTAAAGTTCATGAAGATGTAAGAGATTGATTATGGACTTCTCTGCGTGGAGGGGCTGACATGTTCTACAGGGAAAATAAGAGTAAATGAGCATAAATCACAGCATCTACTCAATGCTCGTAAAATAAGAGTATAAATGCTGCATATGTTTCAATGAGAAATAAGCAAGGAAGGCTAGGAGTAGGGTGACTATAGCAGTCCTCATGGAATAGGTT